AGTAACCTTTAGAGGAGTAGGAAGATAATGGAGAGAGGCTCAAACCAATGAAAAGATCTGGTCTCGGTGGGAGCACCATCAGTGGTGCCAACAGCTGCTGAGGAAGAGCTAGACCTAAGAGCTGGCTGAGAGGAGGCCATTAAAGAAGGGGGGAATATGGGCTGCAGAAGGTTTGGGGTGGGACTGGAGGGGAGGATCTCCCAACAGCGATGGTAATGGCAACAGTTAGAGGTGAGGTTTGGGATGAGAGAGGAAGACAGAGTGAGGCAGGATCTGGAAAGTGGCACTAGGAATGAGCGGTTGAGTATTTGGCTGCAAAGTCTATAGAAAAATGAAGGGGTTTTTTGATAGCTATTCAGGATCCAAAAAGTATGACAGTACCATTCATTGTTCTCTTGCTTTTATAACTGTGTCATCTAAAAACTCGGCTTCTGTTTTGTGGTTGTTTAGAGTCTGCCCTTTGTGAGATATTTTGCACAATGTAGCCTTCAAAATCTTCCTCCTGTTTATTACTACCCCTGCTCTTTTTTTTCTTCCAAATGTCATCTATTTCATTTGAGAATTGTACCCTGGGGTGCTTCAATTATGTATGAATGTGGAGTATTTGGGATGTGCTATTCACAAGTGCTTTCAATTTGCCATCTGAGCTTTGAATATGTGTAAAATTGCCAATATTTTAGTTTCTAGGGCACTCTTAAATGTGCAGTCAAGATGCAGCTTTTGTTCCTAAGTGCTCAGTTTTTTTACCCAGTTTCTAGTGAGACCTTACGAACCTTCCGCATGAATTTTCCATAGAGTAAATTGCCAGCACAGAGCAAGGAAATTCCTGTTGGCTTGTAGCACAGCTGTCTACTCTGAGACCTTCCGTCCTCTGGTGGTGCTCTCCAGCAGTCTGCCTCTGTAGCCAATCATACTTGGTTTGAGTTTCTGAACGACAGGTGATTGACTTGCCTCTCATCTGTCAACATGTGAAATCTCCTGCTCAGAAATGTGATGTCTTTTCTGAGTGCCTCTGTGTAGGCAAATGGTCTTTCCAGAACAGTTTGCACTGTTTTTCTTGTTCTGGAAGATCTCAGCACAGACTTCACCCATACCCTGTCGCTCGGGCATTCAGGTATATTGATTGATACCTACTTTTGCATTTGTGATGGGAGGAGGCAGAAGCAGTTGTAGGTGGAAGGAAAGATGAGCCAGAGGCTGTGAAGGTCTTTTCTTGCTGTCAGGCTTTTAAAGGGAAGAGACTGTTAGGATACTGCATGAAGACTGAAGGCAGAAGGGGTGAGTTAAACGGTGTGAGAAGAGAGAGCTGGTATTGTGCACACGGGATTAAAACATGTTGGATTGAAAGTATCTGTTGCAGTAGGGCTGCAGTAGATAGAGAGATAGCAGAATTGAACGTGTAGCTGTTCTGATAAGAAACAAATAATTGAGGGATGACTACAGAAGGCTCCATTTCTGTCCCAGCACTGCAGGATAAAGAGCTTCAGCCTGTAGTTGCCTCCTAAGACAGATGATGTCACATCTATAGAAGTTATCCCATTTGATGCTGTAGATCGAATGGATCAGTAGCCACTAGAAAAAGACACACAGTAAAAATGATCTCTGCAGATATTCAGGAAGCATTGCTTTGACTGTCACCCGCAGAAGCAGAGAATGTTGCTGCCAACATCTCCATCTGTTGTCCAGCAGCAGTTGTCGAGCCTGTACTTCTGATAACCTTTTGCTGTTGGAGCACATGGAAAGGGCACAAAGCTCTAATGCTGTCACAGGGCAAACCAGAAGCTCTGGTGAATAGTTTAACAAATATTTTTGGGGAGCAGCTTCTGACTGCGCCTGTGAAGGTCTTGTAGCCAATTTCTGGCAACTCTGCTTTTTCTGCAGACTGCTAACTGTTAAATACCACTTCTGAGGCAATACAGAGCTGGGGGGAATGCTGTGGGCTTCAGTAGGCAGGATCTTAATGATTTGAGGTAGAATGAAGTAAGCTGGATGAGAGGACAGGGAGAGGGAAAATAAAGGCCATATGGGATCCCAGGCACTTGCAAGGATATTTGAAGCTATGCCTTTGCCAGTTGTCTGTACCCAGCCGCTGTTTCACAGCAGCCTTAATGCCTTCCAACATTATGCTGCCATCGCCCCTCTTCCCAATAGAGCTGAGCATGATAAAGCTTTGAATCATGCTTCTCCAAAACAAGAAAAATTGTGCCAAGAACAAAGGCTGTGCTTGGATAGGCAGGAAAATGCCCAAGGAGAAAAAAGGGAGATATATTTAACATTGGAAGAGGAGGGAAGGTTCCGTAGTGGGTATGGACGTTCTGGTAAAGGGCACTGGGGAGGTGAACAGAGCAAGGGGGTATGAGAATCACAAGGTGGCCATTACAAGGACCCTTGAGATAGAGGGGAGTGCAGAGGGAGGGTGCCAGGTGCACAGGGAACTCTGCTAACAAAACCTATGGAGTATGTAGCATCCTAGTAGGAAAATAGTGATATCTCAGTAGTTGCATGGTGGGCATGCTCTTTAAAGTAGCTGCCTGCAGACCCAAACCAGCCCATGGTGAGGGACCAATTGGCTCACCAGCAGACTGTCTCATCCCTTGGGGGATACTCTATGGGGAACATGAAGCGAGCATGCAGCAGGAGAGACTCTTGGTTGGCTAAGACTTACTGCAATAGGGGAAGAAAGGTGCAGGACACTTTCCTAGACTTAGAGATTCCTGTTCTGTTTTCAGCTCAACTGCTAATCCAAGGTCAAAACTAATCTGTCTGCAACTTTCGTCACCACTGCCTTGTCTGTAGATTTTAAAGGCTTGATGTGTGGTCTCTGTGCTGACATACTAGTAGCCTAATCTTAATTTCGATGACAATAATCATGAAATACCTTTGCTGTAAATTTGGAACAATCTGCCCTTTGTATGCATTGCACTGTTAAGCTGCTCTCTTGAGCCCTGATTAATAACCTAAATTACTTACCGTAATTAGCTAGTCCTCAGCCTTAGCATTGGGAAAAGCACAAGTCTGACAGCTTTCGAAAGTGAGTGGAGCATGGTCAGGGAGTCTACAAACATTCCTGCCTTTGTCCTCATCTGGAAACTGTTTCTGTCAAAAAATGGATTTTTTTTTTTTTTTTAAGATAAATAATGTATCTTTAAGACTTCCTTTTAATATGTGCTGTACTTCTTTTTGGAATTAGCGTGTATTCGTCCTTGCACCAACTGTGTTCTTTAGCATGTCAATTACTTCAAAATACAAATTATGTCCCATTTCTCAGATTTCATACATAACACACTCCTCTGGGGTCTGTTGCACGATGCATGAATTGCTACGGAATATTACATTAGTACGTCTAGAATACCAGTGCTGGCAGATACACCATCTAAAATAGGGAGAAGCTGTTTAATTGAATTTTCTTCCCCTCTATGATCATTGAGATATAAATTACTGGGAGCACTACTGCAAACATGGGAGCATTTTTGTTCTCTGAACATTGTAATGAACTTTCCTTTATGAAGGAGAGTGTTGCTAAGAGAAACAGGTACATATACAGGAAAGCAATGCTGCATGTTCTGCATGGTTGAGGTCTCAAGCAAGTTTAACAAAAGCTCGTTGCGGATACATCACTCCAACAAACAAGGCAAAATGTCTTTTTCCTGACCCTGAATACTGAGCAAGTGTCAGCTTTTTCTCTGACAGGTAAAATTTTCTGGAATTCCTAAAAGATTTAAGTATTTCAGAGCCAAAGTCACAAAGGCAGGCCTGGGCAGATTTTTCAGAAAATTTGCATTTGTGTGTGTTTTTAAATCTTTGCAAGTTCCATGGTGTTACAGTACTGTTTGAGTGACTGAGCACAGTGTCTGCTGCTTCTCATTTCTCTTTCCAGCGGGTTATTTCTGCTGACTTTTAGACCAAGATGAAGGTCAGATGCCTGTTGATTTTAATAGGTGTTCAACTTTGGTGAAAGTTATACTTGTAAAATACTGTCAGTGAAATAAAATCAAAGGCTTGTGTACAAAGGAAGGGTTATGTGCTTTCTCCCTCTGCATGACAATGCAGAAGACTCCTCTCCTAGAGGGATTGCTTGTAGGAATGAAGGAATAGCTTTACTTCAGTGCTCTTTCAGTTGGTGGGTATACTAGCTGGACTGTGTTTGGTTAATTATAGTCACATTACTAAGGGATAAATGCTCCTGCACTCTAACACAAACATGTATGTCTACCTACAGATGATGGTGACAGCTCCCTTGAAATGCTTAGCGTTGTGGACTGCACAGTAGCAGGCTACACGCTAAAGCTACTGCCATCTGCTACAAATGAGCCAGGCATTTCCCTATTAACAGCAGCATATTGCGCTGTACCCTGGTTCCTGGTTCAATCTGTTTTGGTGGGTTGTCTCCAAATCATGATCTAAGTAAAGGATCTAAGAATTAGCACTGTACCAGGAGAGTTTGATGAGGATGTTCTGGCTGGTTGGGTATGCGTATTGCTGGCTCCTCACATTTATGGGGGTGCACACGCACTTGTGTCGCAGCCTAATGGTTGCTGCCAACAGAAATAAATCTGAATGTTACTGCAGTGAGCTAATAGGCCATTTCCTTCTGGTCATCTTGTGGGGCCTTTTTTAGAGCTGAAGTTCCCATGCTCTCCTTTTGCTGGCAGCATTAAAGCCTATGCAGATTCAGTACATGTAATCTCAGTTATGACTTGAGTCTTTTCCTGCCAAGCAAACAATCTTCAAACTGCACAACAGTGACAAGAACCTCAGGAAGCCCTTAAGCTGAGGCAAAGGACACTGTATTTATCGGTAACTGTGCCAGCTAACCTGAGGTGGTTTTAAAGCAACAGCCCCTTGAAAGAGGCTTTAGATATTAGCAGTTTATAAAAAGTATCTGCTGCCTTGATGCTCAGCTTGTCTCCAGTTGAGCTGAGCATGTATGTTGGCAATTGCATCTGCTCCCTCTGGATTCCTTATAACCTTTTGACTTTTCTTACCATTTCTTGTTTAAGATTTATGTCCATCTCAAAGAAGGGAGTGGTGCTGATGGGCTGGATGCTTTGAAGAACAAACCGCAGCTTCACAGTATGGTGGCCAAAAGCCTTTGTCAGAACGCCTCTGGGAAGAACTACATCATCTTCACTGGCCCGAGCATTACCAGCCTGAATCTCTTCGAAGAATTTGAGAAGCAAGGTGTGTATCAGGTGACTCACTGGGTTTTAATGATGACAGACCTAGGGGCCCTCCTGCCACTGAATTCAAAAAACTCCCAAAAGTTTGGAGTGAGATTTGAATTCCTTGTCTAGATAAGTTGGTGATCTCTAAGAAAAGATCTCATTTGTGAAAAGGTACTATGCAGTACCTTTCTAAGGTACTTTCTAAGACTTTCTAAGTTGCTCTTTAAATCTTCTTAAAGTTCAAAATGAGGATGTAAAAACATTTTTAATAAGGGTATTTGAGGCCCTTGCTTTTGTTCTTTGCCTTAGAAATGTGAGGTCTAATCTCCTATATGGCCTGGGGGACTTTTCAAGGGATTTCCTAGCTGCCTGTGTTTTTTCTGTTCCCATTGTGAAAGACTAGGGATGGGATGAATCCTTAAAGTTGTGCCTTAGAAGTTCTTGCTGGTTTAATATATGTTAAAGATGTGACCTCTCTAGATGACATTTTATGCCATTGCAAAAGCCCTAGCATGGTTCGCTTTTTTTGCTGGTATAAACATGCCTTGGTGAGACAGTTTTTAGTTCTGAAAGCATAATAAACTCTACACTGGCAAAAGCACACTTGCCAGAAGAATGTCCATCGATACGGCAGTGTGGCTCTCCCAGCCAGTTTCTTCCTAGTGCGGAGAGTAATCCCAGGACATCTTCTCTGTCAAATGCCCCTTCACCTTGGGTGTAGAAAAGCCACGTGTTACTTTGCTTTCAGAAATGCTGAGGACTTGTGACTCCCCTTAAATTACAAGCTCCTGCACTCTTGACAGTCATTTATAAGTCATCTCAATGTAACTCTCGGCTTGTTCTTCAGTCAGCACGGCCTTTCAGAGTCGGTATGGTACGTACAATAGATCCTTCGTAGCAGTAAGACTGGAGGCTGCCATTATGAATCATGTAGGAGGAGGCTACAGGGCCGTTTCCCTTTTCAACACACCACTGACAATAGAGTTTTACTTTTGGCATGTTTTCCATTGCAGAAAATTAAACCCACCTGGGGCATTATATTAATGAAACGTGGCCCAAAGCAGGGGGAAAGACTGGAAATTGAGACAATATCTTGATTCTCATTTAAAATGAGAACACCAGTGAGCTGCACCAGTGCTGTAGTTGAGCACTTCAGACTGTGCTGGCACTGAGGGCTGTCTCTGTTGAGCTCCATGCAGGACCTAGCTCCTACATTATTTTAGGTAAGCTGGAAGCTCACAGAGTACAGTGAAATACCACCATATTCTCACAAAAGAGTCATGGTTTCCCAAATGCTGCCAACAGCCAAATGGGAAAGAAGTCAACCATATTTATCGTGCACTGGAGTTTTTCCTCTGAGCAGAGACTGTTCTTTAGTAAATGACTCTTTTCACAGCTGATTATAAGCATTACATTTTTAAGACTACCAAAGCAATGATGCAAAATGTGGGTTCAAAAAAATGTCGAGGATAACTCACATACTCCTAGTACCTGAGATGTGTCAGGTTTAAATGTAAAGACTGACAGACAAAAACTTGACTGCTGAGTCGAACCCTTTATGCTCCGCTGGGGAAGGATAAAGACAATATGGCATGACCCAGTTGGTCCATAACCCCGGTGAAAAACATGCATGGCTACTAAACCAGCTGAGTGTTTATTAGTTACAGATAATTCAAATTGTTCACAGGGGTGAATTATTCATGGTCTTTACACTGAACAGATCATTCAAGTTAACAGTTCCTAGCAGGTAGCAAATTCAGTAATGTCTTTTTAAAGCATGTAATTTTGACTTACTATCTGATATGTTATATATGCTAATGCTGTACTGAGATTTCAGTTTGGTTCATGGTTTGTTATATGCCTTCATGAGATTTTTTTAATGATACTTGACAGCTGCTTCCAAAATTATATTTCAGATCTGGTACCACCTTCCTAGGGGTGAAGCTATGGGGTGGGGGGTGGACACTAAGATAGCAGGTTTATTGGCTTTGCAAAATAGCATGGCACTCCTATATAAAGATGATCACAGGGAGGACGTGAAGGTGTTTCTGTTTAATAAGGACATGGGATTGTCTGCATTTGCCATGAGTTACTAGGGCCTAGCTCAGAGGTTTTGCAGGGGGATGTTGAACTGGAAGGACTATGAGACAGTTGGAGAGGTGAGATGCTAGAGATGTCAAGCAGTGGTGAAGTCAGTCAGAGCCCTGGAGGAGATGGTGTTTACTGACTCTACTGTAAAGCAGCTAATGTATTGCCAGCACCTGCTGGGATCCTACTGCACTGGCAGTACATTTAGGGAGAGGCAGGCAGAGAAGCCTGGACTCAGCAGAGAGATCTCTCTAATGTATACACAGTCGCCCTCAGCAATGACCTTAATGCTTTTTTGGTATGTGGCTTAGCCAACTAAATCTGAACAGGGCCACACCATGACCAAGAAGTGTCATTAGAGCCTGTTGAAGAGCATCTATGCTGAGGTGCTCATGACAGTTCAAGACCCATTCTTAAACTGATGAATTTACTTTTCTGGTTCAAGAAAATTTAGTTTCTAGGCTAGAGCAGGATCAGTGGTAGAAAGATCCTTTTGAGAACTGAAAAGAAAAAGAAACTGGTATTGACCTTAACTGCTTTATGTTGTTTGAGGGGTTTTTTGTAACTATCAACAGAGAAATATGGGGAGATTTAAATAAGCTAACGCTTAGAAACTATAAATTTTTTGGGAACCTAAACTGACATTTAACGGAACTAAAGGAGATTCTGGAAAATCTAGAAAGAGGCACCCACTAAAAATGTATTAGTTCCTCTCAAAATTCTTGATGAGAAGGACTGGGGGTCTTGGTAGCCAGCAAGTTAAACATGAGCCAGCAGTGTGCCTTGGCAGCAAAGATGGTCAACACTATCCTGGGCTGTGTTAACATGAGTGTAGCCTCATCCCTGTAGATCAAGGGAGGTGATTACTGCCTCCTACTCAGCACAGTTTTGGACAACGCCCCCCAACACAGGAAAGGCATTGATAAACTGGAGTAAGTTCAGCAGAGGGCCACCAACCTGACCAGGGGCTGGACCACATGCTCCGCTATGGGGAGGGAACAGCGCTTGTTCAGCCTGAGAAGAGAAGACTTCAGGGAGGACCCAACAGCAGCCTTACGCTACCCTGAGGAGGTTATTGAGCGAATGGAGCTGGCTCTTCACGATGGTGCATCGTGGAAGGACGAAAAACAACAGACATAAACTGAAACAAAAGAAGAAGTTCAGACTAGGTGTAAGGGTTTTCCTGAGGACAGTGGAGCAGGAAGCCCAGACAGGTTGTTCAGTCTCTGTCCTTGGAGGTTTTCAAGCCCAGACAAGATAAAGCCCTGAGCAGTGCTGTCTGACCTCGTGGCTGACCTTACTCTGAGCAGGGGATGGGACTAAAGACCTCCCGAGTTGCCTTCCAACCTCAATTATCCTTTAATCCATAGGATCCTGTGATCCTATGAAGACTTTTGTGGAACCTTAACTATCATTTGCTTTTCCTAACCCCAACCCGCACATGCATTACTGCAAAAACTGCAGTGTTCTTTATGGTAAGCCTGCTGTGTAGCACCTTCACTATACCACAGTAGAGAATATGTGCCTAGTAATATAAAGGGATATCGGTGAACATAATTCTAAGATCTTTGAAGATACCAAAAGCTGAGAAGACTTCAGAAAATAAGACAAGGCACTTTGATCTTTTTCAAAATCAAAAACCTGAATAGACCTCTCTTTTTATTTTTCAGGGGACATACAAAGCATTTTTTTCTCTGGTCTCTGAATAGAACTGGAAACCTGCACTGAAATGCCCCAGATTCTCTTTTCTGCGAGCAGACAGCTGTCATTGTTATTTGCTGTGACATTCATTCATAGTGCACATCTTTTTTTCCCCCTCTAAGCACTAGTGTTGTCCCTTACAGAGGACAGCACCTCCTAAAGCCCTGTGTCCCATGCTTCCCTTAAACATATGATCCCCAAAACTCCCCTTTGCACTTTCTGAACCAGCAGGAGCAGCTGTCCCGCAGAGTGGCTGGGGTTGACAAAGCCGCAGGAGTTGCCAGCCTGGGAGACCACGGCACTCCCACAAGCTTTGCAGGATCCTGCAGCTCCAGCACATGGACTAAAGCAAGCTCTCATCTCCTCCACAGCAGGCCCCCCAGTTGCCCTAGCTCTGACTTGATCCAGCGTTGCATGCAGGATAAATGATTGCAGAATGTGTATTTTTAGAATCATAGAATCATTAAGGTTGGAAAAGACCTCTAAGATCATCAAGTCCAACCGTCAACCCAACACCACCATGCCCACTAAACCATGTCCCTAAGCACCTCATCTACATGTCTTTTAAATACTTCCAGGGATGGTGACTCAACCACTTCCCTGGGCAGCCTGTTCCAATGCTTGACAACCCTTTTGGTGAAGAAATTTCTCCTAATATATGTCCCTAAGCACCTCATCTACATGTCTTTTAAATACTTCCAGGGATGGTGACTCAACCACTTCCCTGGGCAGTCTGTTCCAATGTTTGACCACTCTTTTTTCAGTAAAATTTTTCCTCATGTCCAATCTAAACCTCCCCTGGCGCAACTTGAGGCCATTTCCTCTCGTCCCATTGCTAGTTACTTGGGAAGAGACCGACACCCACTGACACCCTAGTTCAGTTTGCCTGAACTAGCTTGAGCCTGGCTGCCTTTGCAAATGGTACTAATGAAGGTGTGGTGAAACAGGCTTCAGCACAAGCTCTCCAGGGCCTGGAGACCCTGGGAATGAATCTTGGGTGACTACATCACATTTCCTCATCTTTGCTAAACTAGCTTAGGTGTATGCATTTATATTGCAGTTACAGTTTAAGAAGAGCAGAGGAGGACAACCTGTCTCTGTTGACTCCTGTGTATGTGGCAAACACCTGTTGTGATTCTGATTTAATTACACACAAAAACTTCATTGAGCCAGATGGGCATAATTTTTATTGCTTCTATTGCTATAGCAACTGGGTGGTTTTAGAAAACTCTACAGATTAAGGGTGTCATCTGTGATGAGAGACGCTAATAAATCTGCAGAAGTGTTGCACTTTTCTAGGCTGTACAGCAGGCAGGTTACACGGTGTGTTCCTGAGAGAGGAAATGGTTCCCATTATTCTGTATGAGGAGTGAAACATCTGCTGGAAGCTTTCTGCAGGCTTATTGCCTGAGCTAAAGGAAAGGCTACAAATAATTATTATGGGATCTCAGAGATGGCTGTTGCTATTTTGAAGCTCTAGCACAATAATGTATTTATTAGCTTGGTTTTATACTATTGCCGTCTCCTGGAGAGAGTAAGTATCACCTGTCAGTGAGCCATAAACTTTAGGCAGCTAAGGAAATTCTTCTCAGGCTTACTTGCTATCAGAGCACAAAGTTCTTAATATTGGCTAGAAGAAAGCTTTCTAAAAGTTTGCTATGATAATGCCAAAGTTTGCAGGTACATGACCTACACTGTTTGTGTACCTTTTAGCGAGACAAGAAATTAAAAAAAAAAAAAAAAAAAGCCTTCCAATGGAGGTGCAGTTCCTCCTGTATTGATTGTAAGCCTGTTGCCATCAGGCTTTTCTCGTTGTCTTTTGTGGAAGGAACTTACAGATTTCCAGGGACTGATTCATTCATTAGAAATAACTGATGGAGTGCGCATTTCCCCCTTCAGAATGAAGTTGCCCCATTGCTGTGTTGGTTGACCTTCTTCTGATGTGAGTGTCTTAAATTTCTGATGGAAGAGCCTTAGCTCCTTGTAGACCTGCCCACAGCAACTGGACCAATTAATGAGTATTAGCAATTATTATATTAATATTCCTGTAGTATCTGTGAGCTGTTGAGGGGATGCTCAGCATGCCAGGCAATATACGAACCAAGGACAAAGGCTGCACTTGCACTAAAGAGCTTTAGGTCATTCCGGAAAGACAGAGGCAGAAGAGCCACATAAATCGAAACCCAGAGATAACATGCTCAGGGGAAGCCAGACACTGTAGTCTGACTTAGCGTTTCCCCTGGGAGTATATCCAGTTATCTAGCGTGCAGAATTCAGCATGATGAAAAATTTGATCAAGCAGACTTAGCTGACAGATGAGCTTTAAACTACCACAAGCCTCAGCTGCCATATGAAAGATGTGCACAAATGTCACCTGCTTCCATGCCCATCATTTTTTTTTCCACTCAGGTGGGTTAACGCAAAACCAAGGGACACCGAGGAAATTTCCATCCAAGATTTCCTTGAGTTCAATTAATTTGATCAAGAAGATCTGCTTCTCTTGGACTAACAGAAACAGGCTGTTATTATTTCACAGCCTAATGACAAATTCAAGCATTGTCATTATTAATGTTGTTTCCAAACCTTGTTTGTGCCCACCTGGCTGCATTGAGATGTGTTTTATGGTGTTAGATTTTATTTGTTGCCTCTTTCACATATGAAAGGCCAATTTTTTTTCCAGGCCAATTTTAAACATGTGAAGACTATTAGATTATAGATGTTATTGTTGGGAAGATACCCTGAATTCTTCTCCTTGTCATTTCATCATGACAGTGCAGGAGGTGTCAGTACATTTCATCAAGAGAGTAGGCTTTCTGCACTTGTCTCGGTTTCCAGAGACATTCATGTAGGACACAAATCTGTGGTATTACAGGAGAAGGCCAGTTGGCTAACATATCTGTTGGACTAGAAAGGTGTAGGACAAGCTCTTTCTCTAGTCAGGTCATTCAGACTTGCTCCACTGCTCTTGCTTTCTGGGTCCATGCAGTGTCTCGCTGATGGGGAATGTTTTTGTTCACGTGCAGAGATCTACTGCTGTGGGTTGCTGAGTGCCAGGAAGAGTGACTGCACAGGCCTACCTCCATCCATGCTGAACAACCCTGAAACTCCCCAGTCCAGAGGACAGTACAGAATAAGAATGAAGGGAAACATGTCCTTGATCTGCTGGTACAATAAAGGGCACTTTCGTTTTCTGACCAACGCCTATTCACCGCTTCAACAAGGTAAGCAATATTCCTACTGCTCATCTGGAAAGTCCACATGCGTTATGTGACAAGGCAAAAGTCAAGATAATAAGCCTGAACAAAGAGCTTGATCATAATATCCTAGATAAACAGTAGCGATAGTGATGACTTCCCTTTTGTGTCTTCCTACAGCTATTCTTTTTTCCCATACAAAGATTAAAAGCCTACTGCTAATGCAGCCTCCTTTGCTGAGCTGGTGGAGGCAGTGTCCTTTTGGGTATAAAGATTATATCTTCACTGATGGTCAGAGAAGGGAAGAAGGTGGTTGTATAACACTGTTCTAGCCCATTTGCAAAGCATCTTGTAGGATTGCTGCTACAGGAAAATTAATAAACGTTATGATGTAGTTGGAACTCTGAGCAGATCCTACAATTCATTTATCTTATGCAGTAAAAGCTTAGTCACAAATGTTTTTTTGCCAGAACTAAATATGATTAAGGCTTCCTGTTGTATGTTAAATTGATTTTAGCAGTTGATGAAAAGAAACCAAAACAGATAACTTGGATAGTTCAAATAATTGCAAAGAGCTTCTTGATACTGAAATCTTTTCCTTTTTGAAAGTATACAGATGGTTTTAAGAAGGTTTGGAAACTTCTGTAAGATGCAATATGATTAGCTAACTCTTTGAAATTCATCTTTCAGTGAAAACACTGCTTCAGTTTCTTTTCATTTTTATTATTCAGATTTATGTGTAACTGCCTGAGACAAATAAAAATAATCTAAACCTTTAAATGTAAAGCCACCAATTCAAAGGCATCTTGTACGCTCATGTTCTGAATCCCAAGTGACTCTCACATGCGTGTACAGGCCACAGAAGCAAAGTTAAGGCCTTGAATTACTGTATGGTAAGCTGAGAAGTTGACTTAGCGTGGTATTCAGTGCCTTGCCAGAAGTCTCATTACCTTAGCAAAGCATGGCTGATCCCAAGGAATTCTGCTGGGCACTGCAGCAGAGCGAGGACTCGGTGACTTGGATGGACCGGTGTCTGAGCACAAATGCTGAAAATATGTATGTGAAGGAAGTATGACACTTTGGGGACCCTGCTGAAGCCAGTCCCTGGAGCAGTGTTGCTCCCCATGAGGGGCGTTCGCCATCAGGATTTGTGCTATTATTTCCCTTGTGCACTTTGCTGGATTCAGATTATTCAGCTGCACTAACTGGGCAAGAGTTAACACTACACATCACCTGGTTTTTATAGGCTAGCATGGAGCTGTCGGTTATAATTCATAAATATTACTAGAAAAATACTCTGTAAACGTCAGTGTTAACTGCCCTGTTAAAAGAGAGGGCAAAAGCAGACTGCGCTGGCAGCATCCTTTACAACCAGCGCATGGAGGTGTGAGCTGTTATGCTTGTGATTGACCTTGGGTCTGTTTTGGCATAGATGGGATTGTAGGTTGCATGTGTGAGGTAGTTTAACGTCCACTGATTAGGACCTGTGTGTGTGATGAGCAAGACCTGCTCAACACATGGCTCACCAAATGCTGGCTGGGACAGTTGACATAGTTCACGGTGAATCAGAGCAGAAAACAGAGACTGGCTTTTTAAAGAGTGGCGCTGGGGGGAAGAGAGTCTCTAGTGGAAAGCTGGGAACAGATGGAGACTCGGTAGGAAGGCAGGAGACCAGATTGCCTGCCTCTAATTTGGCATCTCTGAAGTCAGTGCAGCAATGCTAATTTAAACCAACTTGAAGCTGGACCACCAAAGTCTCCTCTAAGGCATGTAAATATAGAGGAGGAAGAGCTTGCCTCCTTGAGGCAAGCTGGTAGCACAGACCTGCTGAGCAGGTCCCTACCTGAGAGGAGGTAGGGACAAAGGGTAATAAAACCCACGCAGGGTAGTTGGACAGAGACTGGCGCCAGTGGGATCACCTGACAATGCATGGTACGTGTTTGCACTTGGTTGAGCATAAATGTTGGCAGGGGTGGAGGAGGCTGTAAAGAGAAAACCTTAAAAACAGAAGGCAAGAGATGGTCAAAATAAAACTTAGAATGAGAAAAGAGGTGGATGTAGCTAATAATGAGCTATTTATTGCAATTTAAAGGAAAGTCGAGAAGGTAAATCTTGCCTATACTCAGAGTGCAAATCCCACCCAAGCCAGAGGCACTAGGAGGGCAGTACACTTGTCAGAGCTGATCTATGAATACTATTCCTAGATGCAGCAGGTTATTTATTATGGATGTTTTTAACCAATGTGTCATAATACATCATCTCAGATGCTAAAGGATGAGTCTTATTCCTTTAGTCTTGCAAAAATGTCCTGCTTACTCTGCTATCAAGTATGAAGTTCCTGCCTAGAACAAAATTCAGTGGGGTTTTTAATTTCCCTTAAGCTTTAACTTGAGTTTAATTTTTCCTTGTGCCTGTATTACAGAAGAACTGAGAAGCCAAAAGAGATTGGGACCCCCAGAGAGTAAAAAGTTACCCTATTCTAAAGCAGGTGATATATGTGCTGGCTCAAACCTCCCCGTCTGTGGGACAAGGCTGCATTTTTGTTTTTCCACTCTAGATCTGGTGCCCACTTTCCTAGCATCTCCATTACTATGTTCTAGAAATAACTACAATCTTTTCTATTTTTCATATGAAGCAGGATGGAGCAGGCAGCAACCTCACTTGCTGCATAGCAGGATGACCAGAATGACATCTTTAGCAAAAACTTGTTGAGCCCCAGATCTTTTTAAGAAGTAGCTTCTTTCTAAGAGCTTTCACAGCTGCTCTTCACCAACGAGCTCTACTTAAAAGCTAAACGGACAATAGCTAAGGATAGAAAACAAAGCTTGGGCCACATATGCAAGGACTAAAGAGCTGCAAATGGCGTGTGGGCATCTCTCAAGTGACTTCTGAGAAGATGGGAGATGTTGTGGGGGCATTGCAATTGTATGAAGCTGTATAAGTCCCTGTGTGGTTCTTAACCCAGGAGGAGCTGGAGTGAGGAGTGTCTGGTGACAGTCTAGTTTCCAGAAAAAATCAGCTTGTGAGATTGGCCCAGAACTGAAAAGTCTGAGGAAGGAAGCATAACATTAAAAAGTATGTTTCAGGACAGGGAAGCTTAGGGTTTTAACTCTAAATTTCCACGTGTCCTTTGTGAGACTACATTCAGGGGGTTGTGTCCAAGTATGGTGAGAGTGGGGATGGGGCCGGAGGACTCTGATGGGAAGACCTTGTACATTAGACCTTGTACAATGCTGACTGTCTGCAATTCTGATAAAGAACTGTAACAAATCTAAGTGCTGATAAAAAGCCATATAGCACTTGGAACATGCAGTTATATTATGTTATGAAATCTCAGTGCTTGCCAAGGTGGATGCAAGTGCTAGTATTACTGAGCCTCCATTTTTAAAAAAACAGGATTCTAGCTCCTAAAGTCACAGATTGGCTTAGAATAAGTGTTTGAGGAGACAAACATATGTACACCTTTGTCTTTCTGCTTGTTTCATTTGGGGTGGTATTTCCCAAGCTTTGCTTGACGAGCATATAGCTTAAAAACTTTAAAAAAAAGTTTTAAGAAAAACAAAACCAAAAGCTGATGCCTGTCTGCGGTGGCAGCGTCGTGGCTGGCAGCTGGCACCCCTTCTAGCATGCAGGCAAAGGCAGGCCGTGGCTGCAGCGCAGGCGGTGTGTTCCCTGGAGTGCTGCCAGGGAACGGGAGCACGCGATGCTGGGGGAGGACCAGGAGGGGAAATAGCTCATCGGATGTGCCAGGCTGGCTTGGGACTGCTTGCTGCTTGCAACACAGCGATGCTGGGGGAGGACCAGGAGGGGAAATAGCTCATCGGATGTGCCAGTGAGTCAGCTGGCTTGGGACTGCTTGCCACAGAGACCTGCAGCTAGGAACCACCCAGCTCTGGCAGTTGTCTTCCCTGGAGAGGTGGCCTATGGCTATGAAACAAGCCTAGGAAAGGCTATAAAAATTATGTGCGTATAAAGCTATTTATATTCTCAAAACAGAGCAATGTTACGTGGAATAGAATAGAAAGTGAGAGGGAGTATATGGTACCCACATAGCTGCCACCACAATGCATTTTTTTAAGGATTGTGAATACAAAGCAAATTGCAAAGGAAATATAAATCCTCCAAAGGAGGAGATGGGGAAGAAAGAGAAAAGAGGAGAGCAAGAGGAGAAAGAAGGGCATTTTTTTGTAAAACGCTGGCACCAGGAACATACATACTTACCCTTTCCTGACCTGCCCAGGTGGGATGGCAAGTGATTTTGCAGCACTGATGCAGCAGGCTGGTGGTATATCAGCCCTTTTTACTTCATGCTGGCCAGATTTTTGTAGGACTCATTAAAAGGATCAAAAAAGCACTATAATAAGTATGTGAAGGTAATGAAGGATTTATTTATTTCATTGTTTTTTTCCTCTCCCCTCGGGCTACATTTACACCCAGCTTGGGGAGGCAGAGGTGAAAGGAGAGTGTACTGAACAACTTAGAGGTGATATCATTTTGGACTCTTGAAAAATCAGACTTGAAAGACCCCAAATAAATTGCTCCATGGCTCAGCTGTAACATGACATTTAGTCTGTGTCATAAGTCTTGCTTCAAAATAGAGCCTGCCAGCTAGGGCAGCACAGGGGGCTTGACAGACGTAATGGATGGAATGAGACTTCCAGCTGAAGGAATGAAATGGTGAAGTCTGTAATCAAAACGTGAGGAGCATTTTAGGGATGATTGTAAAACAGTTGGCAGAAGGAAGGCAATGAGTGTTTGAAGGCTTGAGAAATGAGAAAGCCGGGGATTGTACCTGTACTGAAACAATGCTGAGAAAGGATGCAACCAAGCCTGTGCTTCTCTAGACCTGGAGAAAAATAGCGTTGTGCCTGGGGGAGAGCAGGGATCCTCACTAGACAGCGTGCCGTAGACATGGAGCAAGAGATGGTCCATACCCTGGAGTGCTGACCATCAAACCCTGTGGGGACATAAAGTCAAAAGTTACAGAACAGACTCCTTAATAAAGTACTACAAGTTTGTTTTACTTATCCTTCCCTCCTACAAGCAGCTTCCCCTGGATGGGGAAAACACAGAGGAGAGGAGGAACAAATCGGAGAAGAGCTAGAGGAGTTTCTTGGAAGAGCATTGGACTCATAAATACTGCTGTAGTGTTGGAGAAGGCCAGGTCAAAGATGCACCGTGTGAGGAAATGGGGCCTGTTTTTGGAGTAACCTGCTCTAGGCACCACATTTTTGTCTATGCAGAGAGTGGTTAGTAGGTAGCTGCAGAGGACTTGTTGCCTTACAACAGATTTCTGCAGTAGGCAGGATAATCAACCCCCACGATGAGCTGAATTACCTAGCCAGCTGACCAGGCAGGGCAGGGAACATCACTCGCAGGCCGAGAAATGTGTGCTTAGCTCCACTGAGCAACCTAAGCGTACATCTGAGCTCTGGCTCCCCGCAGCAGTGAATCAGGCTGCTTGTCATTTCAAAGATACTGTGGTTGTGGCTCCTTCAACTCACCCACCAGCATCACCTCTGTCTTGACTGGGTTTAGCCAGTTGGCTCCTTCTTGTTGCATTTTCTTTTCTTCGTCAATTAGCACCCAGTGGAGTGGAAGTACTGTTGCTTTTGGCCCCCATGGGTGGAGATAAGCAAAGGATTTAATTTCAAAGGACTCATTTGGGACCTTAAGAACTCAAAGCATAAAATATCAAGTCGCAGCTCTAGAGGTGACCACAACTCATTATGAACCAACAGAAGAGAGACTAATACACTGTCTGTAGGGGGCTACTGTGGGACTACAGCAATGTGTGTTTTTTTCTGAACATATGGTAAAAGTGTTTGTGTCTAACACCTTTTCATTTCCAACTGACAAATGATCCTTCTTCTTCCCCTTCCACTCGCTCAATGTACTACCAATGAAAAAAAAAAAAATCAAATTAGCATCTCTGTTGTAGGTAACTTCCCAGTTTTAGGGCAGAAACTGTCAATAACGTTTACTTTATAATAAACTGTATATAGAAACCATATCTTCTAATTGCTAGACCTATCATGTGGATTTAAAACTGTTATGTTTCTAATTGATGCAGGAGTTATAATTAAGAGAAAAAGTGGAGAAATTCCATGCCCATTGGCGGTTGAAGCATTTGCGGCTCACCTTAGCTATATCTGCAAATATGATGACAAATACAGCAAGTAAGTAAGAATATGTGCGTGTGTGTGTGTGTGTGTATTTCTTTCACTCCTTGTCTGTTGCTGCAATGTTTGAGTTCTCCATGTTGAGCTGCAGCTGAGGGCCCAATCCTACTTTCACGGAATTAATCTCTGCCAAAACTCCTGTTTCAGTCAAAGATCAGAAGCTGGCTCTGCACAAGGGCAAGAGCTGCACTGCTAGTGTTGGTTTGGCTCTATCTACCCATCCACCAGTCAAAAAAAATTTGAGACTTATGTCCTTAGCATCTTGTAAATGACTTTTAAGAAGTGTTGGGAAGATGAGCCAGCAGGATGATGTTCTTGGTGACATCAAATTGAAGGCTAAATAGAGAAGTCAACAAGGGTCTACCAGCCCCACAAGTCTCTCAAGCTAGCTCAGCTCTCCACCCCTATCAGCAGATGGTGTTTAGGTGATTATCTGTCCCGGTGATATTTGTGTCACCTGGAGCCAGAAGAAAAGGACGTTCAGTTGTGGATGTAAAGCTGATCTAGATGATCTGGGAGAGCAGAATGTAGATCTTTTGGCTCCTGAATTCCAGTTGGGGTCCTCAGTGTTAGCTCTTAATGTAGCAGGGAGAAACAGAAACGAGTAAGAATAGCGGTGGTGAAGCTTGGCTGTGGGAGTGGCAATGAGGTGCAGAAGATTTCAAGAACTAAAAATTGAGGAGAGAAAAAGCAGCAGGGATTTTCCAAGCCAGTTCTGGGCAAGGCAGCAAGAATTCAGTAGAAGAGATGAAAGAGGAGGCGGTGATTGCTGGAGACCGACGTTGGGATCTGATCTGAGGAAATCAATACGAAAAAGAGGTGAGGTAGTAGATTTAAATGGTTACTAAAAAAAATGAAAGAAGGAAAGTGGGAAATCTTACGACCTAAGAGCAAATATTCTGGCAGTCCTAGAATTAGTCAGAACCGAAATATAAGGATGTCAGTCCCTTCTAGTTCTGCCATAAGGTATGCTCCACATACCAGCACTGCACGCTCTGGCTCTACCCCCACATCCTCCCACCTGCTGTTGACAGCAGCAGAAATCATTCTTTGCTCGCAATAGAGATAAACAAGAGAAGAAGCATCAGCAATCTTCCCTAAACTGTAACGTAATGTGCCTGAGGCTTTTTTTTAGTTACAAATTGAAGGGATTCAGACCCACAGCTCCCATCACATGGATGTTTGTCACGGGTAAACTTGAGAAGTCTGTATCGGTACTCTTACTTAGATGGAGTGGTACAGAGGTGAGAGTGTTGCTGAGGTTTTGCTTCTGAGAGCAAGGAAGTCTGTTCTTTTAGACACTACTAGAAATTTCCAAAATTGTGCAACTTAACTGTAAATGACTTTCAAATACATTGTAGAAAATTCCTTAAGATGATACTTGCACTAGGTATTAAGTCCTGGGCTGCCTTCCCCTTTGGGACTGCAGAATCTTTGTCTGGGGTTATTTTTTGCATCCCAGCTGCAAGCGTTTGGCTGAACAGTGCTTTTCCCTCCCCTTCTCTCTTGGCTTTTTAGGTATTTCATTTCTCACAAACCAAACAAGACCTGGCAACAAGTATTCTGGTTTGCCATCAGCATCGCTATAAACAATGCCTACATCCTCTACAAAATGTCAGAGGCCTACCATGTGACAAGGTATAGCCGCGCACAGTTTGGTGAAAGACTTGTAAAGGAGCTCCTGGGCTTGGAAGACACCTCACCCTCCCATTGATGCATTGTTCTTGGTGGCGTAGGCAGGGGGTGGAGCGTAAGCAGAAGAAGATACCACACGTGGAACGGCAAAGCAAGGAACTTGTGACACCACCAGTGCTGTCCTTATCCAAAAATGCCAAGTGATGCCAGTAGAGAGGTGGAAACTTTGTTCCTAGTAGCAGCTGGATGTAAACGTGTCCTGCAGAACGTGCCACTGGAAAAGCTGACACAAAATTGCATATGTGAATGCCCTGTGGGAATCTGTCCACCAGAAACAGACTTAAATTAGTCATCATCTCAATACTGTTGTTGAACAGGGTCATGTTGTAAAGTTCCTCTTGGGCTAAGAGCTTGTCATAAGCTGACATAGCTCAGCAGTCCTAGGCGGGCATTACAGAAAACTCTATACCTTACTTGGAGTTATTCAATTCTGGGACAAGCAACGTAAGTCTGCACCATGGGCTGTGATTGAGAGTGCCTGCCATCCTGTAAGGCATCACTGCTGTCCTCCCAGTGTGCTAAACAAAGCAGTTCAGATACACGAACACTGAAGCAAGCGTACCGACAAACAAAACCTTCACAGGCAGGCAGCCAGGAACTGAGGACCAGTTAAGATTTTTGCTTTCTGTCTTTTTTTTCTTTCTTTGTTTTTTTTATTAATGTAATGTAAGACAATTTGATCCCAGTTAGAACACAGCAAAATTAGGGGAAACCAAATACATTAGTGAATTTAAAATAGAAATACATTACATTGATTTTCTTTTTTAACCAGGATGAAACATTTTATACACAAACAAACAATGAGTAATACTGTAAGTATTAACAGTGAGTAAAACCAGTAAGTAATACTGCCTCGCATTTTAACTGCCACAGTCAGTGTACAGGTGAGAAATCAGAATATAACAATTATATTTTTTCTTTATTTCAACTGTATTTTAAACGTTGCTTAAAAATCTAATGTAATGGACTGTTAAGTTTTTAGGAACAACAGTTTCTTTCTTTTCTTTTGTAACTGTCAAGACCTTTTTGGTCCATTTTAGAACTTAATTTGGCACACAGTTGGCAGGAAAAAAATAAGTCACTAATAGCAGTGTGTTTCCCATTATCACTGCGGGGTGTTCTGTAGGAATTCTTCTTGTTAGAATTCAGGGCTTGTCACAGTAGCTGTAATTAAGCAGATTACGTGTTTAGCAAAATAACATAGCATTGTGTTTTACAAAAAGAACGAAGTCCAGTTGCAACCAGACCTTAAACCTCACTAAAACAGAGCAAGCCCAAAGAGTTCTCCTGTTCTGAGTAACACTGTAGAGGACAAGCATCGTCATGAGCTGGTGCCCATGGCTGAAACGCTACGTTTTGGTGCTGGGGGAATCTGAAGGCCGCTGAAGCTTTGGAAAATAATGCCGAGAGAGAGAGGTATGATTGAAACAAGGGAGAATTGATACTGAGGTGAAATACTACCCTGCCCTCTACACATTACTGATTTCAGTCCACAACTCGATCAGCAAAAAACTCTGTATTCTAAAGGTTAGCGGTGATGGACACAAACAGAATTGCATTAACTTACAGGGCAGAAACCGTGTTGCTTAGAGGACCAGGTGGTTTTAGGTCCCCAAGCCTGAAAGGTTTTACCAAAGAATGACTTGGGTTGATTCAAGAGGAAGGGAGTGATTGACTGATTTCTTTATCAGTGTAAACCTCACCAGGTTATATGTATCTATCTGGCAAGAGACAATAGAGGGTAACCAACATGAATTTGAGAACTCCCCAGATTTCATCACTATGTGATGTGCAAGTGCATAGCATGTAAATCATAACAGAGGAAGAATCCAGCAAGGGTTAGTAAATTACTGACTAGCCCAAAGAGCACCCTTGCACCGACATCTTGCTATTTCTACCAAAGTCTTATTTTTTTGGAGTAGACTTAGAGACAGATCTCACCTGGTTGCAGGGAGAGTAAGGGGATGGCCAACTCCATGGTGGTTCTGCTTGCAATACAGCCTGGAGACTGTCCTACACGTCCTGCTCTGCCTGCCAGCTGCATGATGTACAGCAGTGGGTTTCCTAAGCATCCCTTTTCACTTCTCAGTCCACAAGGTCTCCATCTGGGAAATGTGTGAGAAAGCACAAAATCTTGTGCATTGAGGCCTCCTAGTCTCAAAAGGAAGGAGAGGGTTTGTACCACTCCAGTCCTTGGCAATGCCAAGCTGCATAGGAGCCCAAGGATGAGTTCAAAACTTCTTGTCCCTGCAGAGAACTGAGACCACCCCTCTTCAGACTGAGTGTGTGCAGTAGCTCGTTCTTGGCAGTTTTTTAAGTATTCAAAGGGGGAGAGGAGCTAGCATGAAAAACAAATGTTAAGCAATATAAGCCCACGGTTTCCAGTTTTCTTAGGAAACTCCACAGAGGTACCTGGAGGCAAATAGTGTTCTTAGTGTTAGCTCTCTGCTTCAGACAATGCCAGTCCTGTAAATTTATTTCGTTGTCAAAATCGGGGCAGTAAGGAAAGGTCTGACTGGAACTTTGCTGATGGAGCAGTTTGAATAAACAGTAGCTGCTGGGAGTCCAGCTTCCTTGCATTTCCCTGCAATGCCGGAGGATTTGCAAGATGCACACGCCCCCAGCAGAGACGGCAAGGTTTGCAGGACCTCCGAGGAGCCACGTGGCAGTTCTGAGGAGGCAGCACAGCACTCCCCAGGTATGTCGTAGCCCCCTGAGATAGATCTGGAGCCCTTGGCCAATTGTTACGTTACTCTGTATGCTTAAAGGCTTGGATCTAGGCCATCTCATACAGTAAAATGCCTTTTCTTTTTCAGGTAACAGTAGGTCCAAGGCCTTGGAATGTTTCATTTTCCACTAACGTGGGCTGTTAATTATGTGGATTACTTGAGCTAAAATCATGAGGTCCTAGCTTTTTGCCTCAGGGACTGGGTCCTGAGTAGTTTTCCCTAGAATTGGTGTTGACGGGGGATTACACAGTGGCTGACTATTACAGGGAAGATGCTTTAGTCTCCTTTGTAAAGGAGAAAAATGGAGACAAAATTATAGCTTTGCAATGAATTTCATTTTTCTTAGCCTTAACCATCCCTCATCATTTTGAACTGGTGCCCTAAACATGCACAAACATTCCATAAATAAGCAAAAATATTTATATATATTTATATGTAGAAAATGCCTGAATTTTGGCTCTTGAAGCCACAAGCAAAAGCCACCAAAGCATAGTCTATATCCACAGATGACTATTCCACCTCATCTTCTCCATTTATTGACTGGGAGTGGATAGGTTTTGGGAAAGTTAAGATTTCTCCTTGTTGAAAAAGCATCTTGCACTTTCTCTACGTTACTACAAACGAGGCAAAGTAATTAAGGAAGAAGCTGAATCATTTTTAAAAGTTTGTTAACTGCAGCTCAGCTTCTGTAGCATTTCCTTTACTGCAAACTGGCTTACTGAGATTTGGTTCCCCACCTGCTTGTAACGTTAAAGCTTCTCCCTAGTTAAAGGAACAAAAAGGGGTTAGTCTCGAAGTAGTGCAAGGCTGCTAGTTATAGTGTGTGCGTGTGTGTTAATTGTGCAATGGCTTGTGAAATGACTGCAAA